TTTTTTGGAAGGAAAAAAAAGGGGGGGGGGGGGTGAAGGAAGAAAGAAAGAAAGAAAGGAATGAAGGAACTCAAATATACTAAGGTAAAGGTAGTTATTCATTATTGAACGTACGTGAGTGAGCTGTTAGCTCATCTTACTAAGCCTCGGTATTGTGTAGTAAGGTGGCAATTTGCATAATTATATTGTATTCTGCCGTTTCTTTTGCTTTTGTAGTGACAGTTCCCCTTCAATGATATTCTGTAGATTCATGTTAGTGTAAAATTATTATTTTGCGATATTTTAAGCGAGATATACGGTAGCCTATATGAAATAAAATAAATCTTCTTGTAGTAGAGCGACTAAGGTTGAATTTCAGGTAGAATCGTGCACTTCTGGAAGAAAGCATGAAACTTCCCACAGTGATACTATGACACGTAAAGATCATTAAAGAAAAATAGACCCTAAAAAATAACGCTTCCTGATGGCCACCATCTTGAAATACAGTATGGCCGCCAAAATATTTGATTTTAGCCAATATATTCATATCTACAGCACATGTCATTGCCAATTGAAGATCATTACCCATGTTTTCAATATCAGGGAGTGTCATACAATCATCAGAAATTATGCCAGATGGCGCAGCCATATTGGATTTCAAGATGGCCGCCAAATTAATGATATTTTTGGTAATATTCATACCTACAGTACCTAACACAGTCAATCAAAGACCGTTGCCCATGTTTTCGATATCAGGGATTACCATGCAGCCATCAGCAGAAATTATGTCAGAAGACCACCATATTATATTTCAAAATGGCCGCCATTATGAAATTTAATATGGCCACCAAAATAATTAATTTTAGCCTATGTACTCATATTTATAGCACATATCACTCCAACTGAAGATCATTACCCATGTTTTCAATATTAGGGAGTGTCATGCAATCATCAGAAATTATGTTAGATGGCCCGCCATATTGGATTTCAAGATGGCCTCTAAATTATTGCTATTTTGTCAATATCTTATCTACAGCACCTAGCACTGTCGATCAAAGATCGTTCCCCATGTTTTCGATATCAAGTACTATCATGCAGCCATCAGAAATTAAGTCAGAATTTCAAGATTGTTGCCATACTAAATTTCAAGATTGCCGCCAAATTAATTATTGATAATGTTGTAAATATCTTAGCACTTAGCACTGTCACGCAGATATCAGGAATTATGTCAAAAGACCGCCATATTGAATTTCAAGAATGCTGCTATATTGGATATCAAGATGCCGGCCAAAATATTTTTGTTTTCCATATTTACATATGTAAAGTACCAGCACTGTGAATCAAGATTGTGTATAGTATAATTAGGGATATCATGCAATCATTAAACATCTCATAATCATATTGAGACCTGCCTATGGTAGTAAAGTAATACCATTTAGAAAGAAGTCCGACAACTGCCACGTTGGATTTCAGGATGATTGGTTACCAATTGCAAATTGGTAACCAATCGAAAGTAATGAAAATAAAAAAAATAAAAAGTAAATAACTGCTTCGTATGGTATGAGAGCAAGTGCAGAGGGAGAGAGATAGATGCAGATATTAAACATCATTTATATTACATCTAGTTTTAACATAAATGAAATTATGTAAACATGTAAACATAAATCAAATATTCAAATTAATAGTGTGAAGAAACTAATATCGAATAGACCTAATGTCCATGAAATGGCTAATTATCATTTTCAAATGATATATAAACATATGTAAATATTGAAAGGAATGAAACGGAAAGGAAAATTATAGTAAGGAAAATAAAGAACGGAAAGAAAAAGAAAAACACTAGAAAGGAAAAAGAAATAAAAAAGAATAGAAAATGAATATAATGGAGAAAGTGAAAAGAAATAAAAGAAAGATCAAGACAAATTATAAGAAAAGGATATAGATAACTTTAGCATAAATGAAATTATGTAGACATAAATTAAATATCAAATTCAAGTAATGGTATGAAGGCAATAATATCGAATA